GCTAAAAACTCTGTTTTTAATGATCTTTATAATATATTAGATACTAAGGAATGTGAAAAATATATGTACAAACTAGCCAAACAAAGAGAAAATAAAGTTAAAGATTTAAGTCGAGTAAAGTGCATTAAAGTTGAAAGTCAAAAAGTGTTTTTCTTAGAAAAAGATATTCAACATAGTTGGGTGAGTTATTTTGATAAAATTTTTAATGAAGTTTCTGAAAATACGATCGACCTTAGTGATCTTAATATCGTGAATACTAATAAAACGTTTCATTTTTACTGTCGCATTAGTAAAAAAGAAGTTGAGGAGGCTTTAAAGAAAACTAAAGGTGGAAAGTCTGTAGGACCTGATGATATCGAAATTGAAGTATAGAAATGTTTAGGAGATTTGGAAGTTTCTTGACTTAATAAACTCTTTAATATTATTTTAAAAACTAAAAAGATGTCAAAGGAGTGGAGGAAGAGTATTTTGGTCCCCATTTTTAAGAATAAAGAGGATGCACAAGAGTGTGCAAATTATAGAGGAATTAAGTTGATGTGCTATACTTCAAAATTATGGGAGAGGGTAATTAAACATAGGTTAAGACGCGTATTACAAAGATTTCTCATAATCAATTTGGATTTATGTCGGGCATATCAACTATGGAAGCTATACATTTATTGAGAAGTTTAATGGAGAAGTTCAGAGATAATAAGGAGAATCTACATTTGATTTTTATTGATTTAGAAAAAGCTTATGATAAGGTTCCAAGAGATATCCTTTGGAGAGTTCTTGAGATGAAAGGTGTTGATATGACTTTATTCAAGTCATTAAAGATATTTATACTAGAGTTGTTACTTGTGGATTCTTTTTGCTTTAGTTATAGATGGTCTTATTGGACATTTACAGAAGGATGTACCTTGGTGTATGCTTTTTGTTGATGATATCCTTCTCGTGGATTAAACGAGAGAAAAAGCCCAGGAAAAACTTTAATTATGGAGGTCTACATCAGAGTCTAAAGGCCTTCATTTGAGTAGAATTAAAACTGAATACATGAAATATAATTTTAGTAGTAGTAGCTCTAGTGACAGAAATGTAACTTTGGGTGATCAAATTATTAAAAGGTGTGAATAATTTAGATATCTCGGGTCTGTTGTTCAAAGCAATGGTGATATAGATGGGGATGTTAATAGTAGAATTCAAGTTGGAAAAAGAACGCAATGGGGAAAAAGGATTCATGTAGCTGACCTCACGTAGTGGGATTAAGGCTTTGTTGTTGTATTAAAAATTAGGATGACCTAAACGACAATTTAATAACATAGTGAGACATTCAATTACTCGAGTTAGATTACAACTTTTGAGTGTCGTATCATCACTCTCCGTATTGTCTTCTTGAAATTAGTTGAGTTCAACTATCCTTTTTGCAGTTTCAATCATCCTCTCCGAACGACGATCTTGAAAAATACAACTATCATAAGAGCAATTAACAACACAATCGACATCACTTGTAAACTTGCTGACTCATAAGGTACATTGTAACTGGGGAACATGTAAACAAACTCCAGAGGTAAATCAGTCGTTAGTACAATGGATCATTTACAAACAATGAAGCTACAAGATCCATCAACAATTCTAACAAAATTTTTTTCAGAGCATGTGTAGTAAGTCGAGAAAGCTTGCTAGGAGTCAGTCATATGATCTATGACATCTGAATCAATAATCCATTAAGTAGAAGAGGAATAAACTGTGAGAGCCCTAGAAAGAGACATTGTCAAACACGAGAGGTCAATGGACCCTCAAAGACTTGATTGATTTCAAGAAACTTGATCAATTGCTCCATCTGGTTTTTTAGGGACTCGGAGGAATCTGGATGTTCCAAGTAGGAGTCGATTGAGCAGTGCCTTGTTCGACCGTCGCCGTAACTCCCTTAGCAACAGAGGATTTGACTTAAGGTTTGTATGTGGGCTTACCATGAAGTTTTCAACACTTATCTCGGGTGTGGTTGGGTTTATGACAATAATCACAAGTCTAGTGATCGGTCCGCGGTGGTATGAATGAGGGTTGAACGCTATTTGAGTCAAGGCTGACGACTCAGCTAAAGGTGTAGAAGTGTCGAGCATGACAAGTCTTTTGTTTTCTTCCCAACGAATCTCAATAAAGCAGCTCGAGCGGAAAAAAGAGGATCCCGACAACAGATACAAGCCAGGACTTCATCAATGTTTTTGTTAAGGCCAACAAAGAATTGAAACATAAAATCTTTTTCTTCAATTTTCTGGAAGAGGGGTTAGTCGGCTGGAGAATCCCAATTGTAGTCGTAGTACAAGTCGCATTCCACCCATAATGCAACTAGGTCATTATAGTACCGGGTCGTTGTTCTTCACCCATGCTTTGCCTCCTGAGTTTTCTTGGATACCTCATTGAGTTGGCTGAAATTTCTTACATCCAAGTAGGTGTCGCGGACATCCGTTCAGAGAGCGCTCGCGGAAGGGAGGAACATGTATGAATGACCAATTGAAGTCTTCATTGGATGAAGAGTACACGAAGGAGAGAAATGATATAGAACTAAAGTTCAAGAATTTACAGGGAAATTATTTGAATATCAAGCTTGGTTAACCCTTTATAATTATTTGAATATCAAGCTTGGTTAACCCTTTATAATTATTTGAATATCAAGCTTGGTTAACCCTTTATAATTATTTGAATATCAAGCTTGGTTAACCCTTTATAATTATTTGAATATCAAGCTTGGTTAACCCTTTATAATGATTCTTTATTTGCTATTATGTATTGGGTGGTATTATAATAATATGTTGATCATTAAATAAGAAAGGGTATATAGTTTGTCCTGCAAAATATGGGATTTTTATGTGCATCTTAAATATGCATGGCCACATTCATTTAAATTTCAGATTTTTATTGATGAAGGAATTATTTCAAGAAAGAACTAAAGCATAGAGGAATAAATTGTAGAGGAAGAAATGATTTTAAAGAAGGGACTTATGATTTCAAGGTACAATTAATGCTTCTTGTTTTAAGGGAGTGGCCACTCTATGCTTGCTTACATGAACAAAAGATACCATCCAAAATTTTATCAATTTATTGTTAATGTGATCATGTGATATCTTCAAAGAGGCTACATAATGTGTCATGTAAGAAAAATTGTTTATCCACTTACGAACTTGTATGTATGTATGAATGACCAACATGTAAGAAAAATTGTTTATCCACTTACATAATTATCATGTGATACCAACCATGACATGACCACGGAGTTATCCACTTACGAAGCTCCTTATGCTTGATCAGTCTTTGGAGGCTCAGGAATCATACCTGTGAGGTGATCGAACTTCCCATGTCATTTGATGAACAAAGAGAATGCTTGGGACAATTAGAGAAAATTATTGCCGTTCAACTTATAAGTTGTGATCAAGAAATTCATGTTGGCTTTCGATCCTCCAGTCTGTAAGAAAGTGAAGGTTGGAGTTGATCCTCCGGTGGAGTCAAAAACGCCTTCTGAGGGTGATTCATTTGAAAGATTCAACTATAATTTTGATTGAGCAAAATGATATGTTGTTGTGGTTTTGAGCCATCAATGAATTTTGGTAGAATCACGACAACCAGTACAACTGCAAAAATTATAGATAGGACAACTCCAGGGATACTTTTTGCAGAACAACGACAAGATTGGCTTGAAATAGGAGGAATCTGGCTACAACAGAAGTCCTCTAGCAAACAATAATAGGACGAATTGGGCAGCATATCTTCTGTTCGGTGGACCCTGAAGAAAGAGCGGCAGAATTCTGCAGACAGGCTAGGATCTTCTGTTCATTGGACCCTCTAGGAAGAGTGACATAATAGAATGAAACATGCGGACAGAGCTAGGAGGAATCCTTCTGGAATTCTTGTAGTTCACTGGAATCTGCTGATCGTTGGACCTGACAGGAAAGGCTGCCGGCTTGGAGAAGGTGGAGGCAGCGGCTGCTGGAATCGACAGAAGATTGTGGGGACTATTGGATCTAGGTTTATTTTTTGATATCATGTTGAGATTTGGAAAATATCAACTTGTTTTCATTGATAGGAGGAGGGGTATTTAAACCCAATTAAAATAAGCATAATAATGGAAAGTAATAAAAAAAATAAAACAGAATAAAAAACAAAAAAAGAAATACGTAATCAGAGAATAAACTTAAATAATAGTTAATAACGACATAGGGAAGAAAATCAATTATATATATATGGAATTTGCATTTACTTTTTGATAGCTTTGTTCTGCGTGATTATCCCTTCCACTTTGCACCCTTCACTACCCTTAGCCCAATTGTTCCACTAAAATCATAATTAACATGGTATTGAATTCATCCAGTGATGAGTTTTGCTCTAGGGGTGTCAATAAATGACCCAACTTGTTAACTCGACATGAAAAATCTTGGTTTTGGTTGACCAGATTAATTTTTAAGGTGGGTTCGGATCTAGAATCTTGATTTGTATAATTTTTTAGTTAGATTCAATTTTAATTTGATGCAAATACCCAAATTTGATATGAATTCAACCCAAACTTGTTCAAAGATGTATTTTCCAATAATATTGTTGTTATGCTTTATGTTAAATTGATTGGTGTGAGTTGGTTTGAAGTTGAATTTTGTTTGGATCATTTAATGAACGGGTGGCTTCAAATTCATGTCAGACTCAAACGAACTCGTTAACCTGAATTGACATCTTATTTTGCTTTAGTTAAAATTTTTCGACTTCTAGATGTTAGTCCATGCTATCTGATGTCTACAAATGGATGTTAATGATCACTATTGATATTAACATAATGTGATTTTCGTAAAATAACATTAAACTAACCACATTATTTTCTATAAATAGTATTGCTAGCTAGATGAATTTGCTATCTATCCAACATTGAACCAAGCAACCCCTAAAATTATTACTGATAGAAGTATAGCATCCACTTTTTTGATAATTTAATGATGCCACTCCATGTATTCATTTTCCTTTTTATTACCTTTTTTCTTTAGATGTTTAGAACTTATAGCAAGGAGGAAGTTTCTTTTCATAATAAGAGGGATGACTGTTGGATTATTATCAAAGACAAGGTTTTGTTATAAACTTTCTTTAAATTTCTTTCTGAATTTTCTTTTGATGTCCTTTTGTGCTAAAATCATTGAATCTATAACGCCATTTGTTCTCTTCACGCAGGTATATAATGTAACTACATATGTGGAAGAGCATCCAGGTGGGGATGCCATACTGAATCATGCTGGAGGCGATTCGACGGAGGGATTCTTTGGGTTTGCACCTATTATAGTTCAAATTGCATGCTCATTATGACTAATTTAGTATCATATTTAGGAAGATTTACATAATATCTTTGCATTTACATATTTAACACAAATATTGATTTTTACCTATATGCCACTTTATCTATGCATGAGAAAGTGTATTTCACTTTATAAAAGTTAAAATAATGGTATTTTTGATGTGACATGAAAGATTTGGGTGGTATAAATGCAAAAGTATAGTTTAGGTGTTAAACCTATAAATTTCTAGGAATTGGGTGGTATGTATGTGATACGATCCGACATTGAAATCAACACGGGTTTTTACGTAAGTTAGGGCAAACACAAATATTTTCTTCAACTCACAAATACAAAAGATAAACACCTACAATTCTAGAGGTAGGCGACCTCTCTCAATTCCTACAATTCGAGAGGTAGGAAGTCTCTCCCAAGACTTAAACCTATGACTCATAACTCAATCTCTTGCATAAACCTCATCCTAAACATAACAAGACTATTTATACCCAATAATAATAATAATAATAATAAACGACTAAATTGTCCTTAGGCGTACAAAAAACAAATTTGTCCTTAGGCTAAACGCCCTCATAACAATACTCCCTCCTCAAAAAGACACATTGTCATCAAGGTGAAAAAAAAAAATGAGTGTTCCTCCTCCCTTACAACCGTCTATATTTCTTCATTCTCTGTTTCCTCATCCTACACTATGAGTACTTGTAATCTTTGATTCTTGCAATGGTATCTTAGGTAAACATCTCAGCACACCGAAAACATACCTCATTGGCTCGCTTATCTTGAATCTTTGTCTCTATAAGTCGCTTTAGTGTCCCATGCACCCTCCCTCTAAACTTCCATTGTCCGAACTTTTGGCATTCTTGTGGTTGTAGTCATTCCGTACGTAGCTCTGTCTTGTTCTTGTTGGCTTTCTTTGTCAAGTTCTTGTCTTCTACTATCCGGGCCAGCTCCATCATCTCCCTCAATCCCCGCGGTATTAATAGTTGGAGTGCTTCCCATATGCTGGCTTTAAACCTTTCATGAAATTCCTCTCAAACACTGCTTTAGAAATCCCCTACAGTCGTTCCGACAATAATTCAAATCTCTCTCTGTATTCCATGACCGTCCCCTCCGGAGTCAAGACATAGAATTGCTTGTGTTGATCTCCTTCCCGAATGGCTCAGAAATATTCTAGCAAACAATCCTTAAATTCATCCCACGAGCGAATCAGGTATCTAGCCTCACTTCACTGAAACCAGGCTAAAGTCTTCCTCTCCAAACACAATTCTAGCGCCATGAGTTTCTCCTTCCCATCTAACTCATTCACTGCGAAGTATCGCTTCGCCCGATACGCCCACCCATGTGCGTCCTAACTCTAATATCACCCCACTTGCTCTTCCTCTGGTATTTCCCCCCATGTATCTTGGGTGGAACTCTCTCCTCTGATCATAGGCATACCCAACTCTCGATTCCCTCCTTTCTCCCTCATGTTGTTCCGTATCTCTTACACCAACCTTCCTCCAATTTTCGGCACACCGCCTTCCCTTGGAAGTTTCCACTCCCCCTCCTCTCAGAGTCCTAGGGGGACACTCTTATTGGTAGATGATGTCTTCCTTGTTGGCTTCTCGTTTGGTTTCCTTCCCTTTTGATCCGGCCAAGGATTCTTTGATCAATCCTTGGTACTGGAGCGATCGACGTGTCGTTGGACTGCACCTTCTTAAGCTTTTTCATCATCTCTCGTATTTCTCCTATGCTCTCAAAATCCATCCTCCATTGTCTTTCTATGGACGAAAACCTATTTTCCATAATGACAAACTTTCTTCCATCCTCGATCTGATTTGACTCGTCTCTTCCTCTAACTTCTTCTCCCACATCTCTTTCACGCAGCTCTTATGGTGAATGTATCACTAGTCAGTCGACCTGGTCGGTGCTTTCAGTTACACAGGGCACTCAGATCGCGACTGTATTGCATGTGAGGAAAAGAAAATCGCAGTAAGCCGCCTCCTCATTTTTGCCTTCTCAAATAGCTCTGATCGTGAAATATATCGTGCAGACGACACGTAAGGAAGAGAAAAAAAGGAAGTTTTGGGTCTTTGTAAGCCGTTCCCCGTCGCTACTTTCCTCAGCTAGCTCTGATCGTGACTGGATCTCGTAGACGGCACGAGAGGAAGAGAGGAATGGGAGTTTCTGGTCTCTGTTCGCCGCTTCCCGGCCATTGCCTTCCCAGCTAGGTCTGATCAGAATTGTATCAAGTAGAAGGCATTGAAACAAGAGCAATCGTGAGTTACGGATCTTTATACGCCCTTATTTCGTTGATGTCGTCGATCTTCATAGAAGAAGACACGATTCCTTCGTCGTCTTCCCTGCAAGCTATGATCGTGGGGAGAAAAGTTGTGGCTTGTCGCTGTGAGCTGCGATCCTATAGTCGTAGTCGCGACTGCTTCGCGCGAGTATTGAACGGAAGGAGGTGCGTTCTTGTCCTAGATATGCTGCAATTCTTCCCCGCATCACAATCTACTGTCTTTTGTAAGACGCAAGCCCTTCGTTGCCTTCTTCGGTGAGCCGTGAGGCTAACTGCATGACGATTTCGAGCACTTCTTCCCAGAAACGTTGCTCCGATGCCAATTTAATACGATCTGACGTCGAAATCGGCTCGGATATTTACAAAAGTTAGAGCAAACACGAATATTTTTTTCGGTAATCTAAACAACTCATACAAATAAAAAAGATAAACACCTACAATTTTTCGAGAGGTAGGCAATCTCTCCCAATTCCTACAATTCGAGAGGTAAGAAGTCTCTCCCAAGACCTGAACCTAAGACTCATAACTCAATCTGATATCTAAGTCTAACCCTAAACATAACATGACTATTCATACCCAACAACAATAATAATAAACTATTAAATTGCCCTTAGGCATACAAAAGACAAATTTGCCCTTAGGCTAAGCGCTCTTTTAACAGTATTTACCACAAACATTTTCCTCATGAATTTTGATTGAGGTTGCAAACATATATATCGCGAGCCGTATATTTGGCTTCTTATTTCTTTTGCTCTAACCAAACGCCAGAAATTTCAAAATTTTCCATTTGATTTGTTCTACACTCTTTGCAATAAAATAGCACATATAACTTGCCTAGCATTTATTTTGCCGAAAACCAACTATAAATAAAATTTGAAATGCTGAGATGTCCTACTAATGCAATCGACCAAATGAACTCTGAGTATAATTCAAATCCCTTGAGTGAAATATAATGAAAGACGCTAAATCCAATAATCTGGTTTTCAACCTTTACTCCATTTCTTTCTCTTGTCCAATCTTTTCATGATATAAACTTCTCTTTATTTCTCCTTGATCATATTTTATGAATTTATCTCATTCAAAGTTTTTCAAACAATGAATTGCTTAGCGAATTCAGAGATTTAAAACAAGCATTTCAATCTGATGGAGATATTCAATGTAAAATTTGTGATTTAACGTGCAATAATATTTGATCAAGTATAAAAAGTCAGAGAATGCATTTCGTTTACAAGAAGCAATAATATTACTAGAAGTTCGAAGTATGAGTACTTACCTTGAATTAGATGGCTTATGTTCACTCTCTTGTCCTTCACTCCTTTTTAAATTTAAAACCTATTTAAAGTTTGTCAATCTCCGGTCCCTTGATTTTTTGGTTTTCCTTTTGCTCGTGATCTCGAAATGAATCTATCTGTAAAGCAGTAAAATTATTTAGGAAGATTTACGAAAATACCACTCAATTCCTATGTAATCACATATCTAACACCTAAACTTCAATTTTTACTTATATGTTACCTTACCTATGCATATTTAACCTTTTAAAAGTTAAAATAGTAGCATTTTTAATGTGATATGAAAGATTTGGGTCGTATTAATGTAAAAATCAAAGTTTCTTTGTTAGATATGTAAATACATAGGAATAGAGTGGTATCTATGTATATCTTCCAAATTATTTAGAACCAGGGCAGAATAACATAAGATGAATCTGGTCTGATTTGTTTGTCATCTTCCCATACCTTGACTGTTAGGTTTTCCTTTTTAATCATACACCGCCAAAATGAATCTGTTTGAATGGCAGCAAAATTTGCTTAGAACCTATATTAGAATATTCAAATTTTTTGTGTTTGTTTTCTCATACCTGAGTTGCTATGAAGTGAAGTGGAAATGGATTATGTCCAGTATTCGTTGTTTAAAGAACTGATTACTTTTTCACTTGATTTCATAGCAGATATTTGACTTCAGCTCCATCAGTAGTCTTTAGAACTACCCTTCCAACTATTTTTGGGGAGGAAAGTGTCAAAATGATCCTGACTCTTTGCAACGAGTCATTTAAGTCCCAGAGTGTCTTTTTAGTCCTAGTCTATTTTTATATACTACAACAACAACAACAACAACAAAGCCTGAATCCCACTACGTGGGGTCGGTACATGAATCCTTTTTCTCCATTGCGTCCTATTTAGTGTCATATCTTCATTTAGTTCTAATAAATTAAAATAATTTTTTATACAATAAGCCCAAGTCTTCTTAGGTCTATCTCTGCCTTTCTTAATATAAGTCGAATCTAAAACATCTACCATCTTAATCAGATCATCAGATGGTCGACGTCTAATGTGACCAAACCATCTAAGACGACTCTCTCTAATTTTGTCCATCACCGGAGCTGCACCAACCGTAGTCAATTTTTATATAAGTTACAATAATTCTCGCGAAGGATTTTTTCATCCATTTAAAGAGTCTGGGACTAATTTGACATTTTTATATATTGAGACTAAAATGACCCCATGTAAACAGTCAGAGACTATTTTGGCATTTTGCTCTATTACAGAGCTATTTAACTTTTTTTTTTTTCTGCTTTTTTGCAGGCCGCAACATGCAACTCGGGTTTTTGACATGGTCGATGAATTCTATATTGGGGATTTGCAGCTTTGAGGTTTATATCTCACTGTTTTGACATGTTTTGCATGATACTTCAAATTTAATTAAGTTACCACACTACCTATAATGAAACAATTATGGAATGATCGCATTGCCGAAGCATGTGCTCCTTTTTCTGATTTTTCCCATCAATATTTTTCAATTCCTTGGATATTTGTATTGACTAATCACTTTCTAAATTTAAGAGTTGCAGTTTAATTATTCAAATTCTTTTTGCCAACTCATATGCCTGAGCATTAGACCGTAGGCGTCTGATATCTATCAATTGAGTAGATTATCCCTTTGAAAAAAAAAAGAGTAGATTACAATTTATTTTTTACCCTGATATACTAATGATGTCAATCGTGTCTTTCATTTTCTCAATTGCAAGTTTAATGTGTGCATTTGTAACGACTGAACCTGGTAACTTAGAATTAATCAATTTAGGCACTGTGGTCGGATGATATTAACATTTAAATAATTATTCACATATTTAGAAACTTTTAATATATAAAAGAACCACTAATAATACATAAAATACAATGCATAGAAAAATCAGAACATCCAAAAACAATAATATAGTCTGTAAACAGTTTCTCAAACTAACACGTACCTGTAAATCACTACAATGAAGAAAACAGTGAAAAAAAAAACTACGATCACATCATAACATGATACATATCACTGCAATCCTCCTCTTGTAAATTAAGTTTCTCCTACCAGATATATCAATTTACTGTTTTTCTTTTCCGGAAATGAACCATTAAATTCAAGAAGTTCACAACTTAATAAGCAATTATAATCTTAACATGCATTAAATTATTATGATAATATTTATGCATGAATAGCCAAAAAAAACGTAGTGCATTACTTTTTAAAACTGTAAGTTTTCACTTTAAATTTATATCTTCCCATTTTAATTTAAGTATTTATTATTTTAAATTATTTAAGAGTCATATCATGATTATCGTCATATCTGAAGGTATTCCAAAATTGTACCCATTAGTACACTTAAAATTTGCACCCGAGGGTACATATTTATCATTTTCTTTTTCGTTATCATGCACGGGTACATCATATCGTCTGTCAATACCATCTGAGGGTATTCATATATGTCTTAAGCTTTTACATTTCATTTCCTTTAAATCGCCTTTGTTCAAAGACATTGAAAAATCATTCTCTTTTTTTTCATTCATTTTCTTTAATTTTTATGCTTACAACATGCATCCAATTATAAAAATATTTGTCCAAAGCATTAAAAAAATTTATTTAATAAACTTTAATTTAATATATATAACAAAATAATTATTCATCTTACTTTGCTGGTTTTCTCAAGTTGAGCCCCCCTCCAAGAGGACCGGCTGGTCCATCTGGGCTGGAGCTGAACCCAGCCAGTCCCGCATGAGCCCCACATCTCTCCCCTCTCCTTTCTACTCTCTCAAAAAGGAAGCCGCCCATAAGTACTCGTAGTCTTCTCTGTAATGGATCTTGCAGAAGGCAGTTCCATGTATTTGGGATCAAAAAGTGGATGTGATCTCCTGCCGGATTCTACTCCCCGATTGCTGATACTATTTTTTAAGATTTTGAGATGAGCATGTTATTTTCCTCAGATATGTACAGTTATTGGTCCTATTCATATTATGAAATCTTTTATTTTGTTTGGTTCGTCCTGTTCGTTTAGTTTTGCAATGGCATTCATATAATAGTATGGAATTTATGAGTGCATTTCTGTACTGAGAATTGAGCTGGATAATCATGTCAATTTTATTGAGAATAATATGTTCATGTCTTGTTCAAGTGATGATTGAATTGCAAGAATATTTGAAGACTAATAAAGGAATTTAATTGAAAAGGAAAATTGAAATATATTTTAAAAAATTTAATTATTCAATTGGTCTATATTTTTTATATTTATATTATGTCTGAATCTTGCAATAATATCGCTGTGAAAACAAGTAATGGAAAAAAATCACATGCTACGTATATAAGATTTTATTAGTAATATGAATTTTTTCAATATCCTAAAACAATTTTTGCACAATGCCTCCAAAAGAGGCCCCATTGAAAAAGCACAAAAAAGGAGGTTTTGCACTAAAAAGTTTGATATTTACATATACACCAACTAAAAGTTCGAGAAATATTTGTGTATGTAAGACTTATACAAATTTGCGTACATATTATGTTATTTGGAGGGTACAGATAGGTTACACTTAGGTTATAGGAAGAATTACAATGAATATAACCTAAGTGTACTCTTCTATTAACATAATATGTATATAACTCTGCATACGTCTTATATATGCAGATATTTCTCCTAAAGGTTCATATTTACACTCAAAAGCACCCAACCCCTTGCACGAGCTCAGTTCAAAATGCTTGTCCCCGCCCTATGTGATGAACTCACAATAATTGTCACATTTCACAAATAAAAGCAATCACATCCTTATAGTTCCATTCAATTCCTATATATTGACATATCTACACATGAAAAATGTGTATTTCAATTCTTAAAAATAGTGTAAACATCTCAACCCATATAGATCAAATGCCACACTTGACATAATTATTTATTATTTCATCCCAAACAATTTTAGAGGCATTTCATTCAATTATTCCCCTGTTCTCATGCAACAAATTTATTAAATTCCCTACCAAAATGACCATAGTGTACCATCAGAATTAAGACCACCAAAAGCACCGCATAAAAATATAGCAAAAAAGTCTTTAGTAACATCAGAATTGAAGTAACAATAGTTTATGGCCACTTAACAAGTAAAAAAATTCAGTCAAACAATAGTTGTTAGTGCTGAAGCAATGGCTGTGGGTGTTTAATTGTCAGCTCAGCTCTCAAGTGAAGAACATCATTCATAAAGTATTGACTATCCTCAGCCATAAAAGCAGTCCATGGAATTGCAAACAGATTTCTGTACCCAACAGCCTTCCCTCCCGTGAAGGTATAGCATCCCTTGTATTTGCTCACAAACTCGCCTGCCAGCTTCGTCCTCGCGGCAAACTCATAGTCCACCGTAAAGCTCACCGAACCCTTCTCCTGCATTCCCAAGAAAAGTCCAAAACAATGAAATGAAATCTGTTGATCCATGTTGCAGTGCGCGGAGAGGAAGAATCCTTGGCCGCCCAAGTGGAATGCCTGGGAATACACTCGACCCGACGGATACAAATTGGCGCACTCATTCCGCTTCAGGTCTAAATAAACTATGCATTGAGGGTGGGGAAGATCGAACTCCACAACCTTCACCGGGCGATATTTGTATGCCCGTTCAACAAACCGTCGGTAAACGAGATCCTCTGTGGCGAGGGAGCGTTGCCGGTGCGGAGTCTCGGCCTTGAAGAAGAGCGCATCCATGACGGCTTTGGAGGCGATCTCGTGGTCGAGGTCATTGCCGGCAAGCACCTTCCGCAGTTTTCGGCAGGTCATGAAGGGGAATCGGATTAGGCGTACGAGGCGGGATCCGAGTATTTCTCTCCTGTCTTCAAGTTTCGGGTACTGCATTCGAGCCCACTTTAGCACCAAATCGTAAACAGCATCCTCTGAAGCCACTTGGAGGTCGTCGCTGATCAGGATTGCCTCAATTCCAGCTAGAGGTAGATTCATCACTTCATCTTGGAACCTGATGGTAAAAAACTTATTACTTACTGGAATACATAGGAATTAGGTAGAAATTAAGTTGAGGTGCTATATAAGTAAATACATAGGAATTACATAGTAATTATGTAAATGCCCCTAAATATTGTTTCTTACTTGCTTATATCCCTATATTTATTGGAAAGGAATTCTTTGGCAGCATCTGTGAGTGGTTGAACAGCAGAAGCCATGGAAACACTGGAAGGGAGCTCTAAATAGAGGAGAGCTGAATCTGTCGTCATCGGCAATGTTCTTAGTATTTGACTGCAGTGCCTCATGCAAGAAGCAACCTCGAATTTATCAGCCGCCATTAGAACATCTAGAAGGGCTGGTGCTGAGACAGTTGACAATTTCCCACTGTACATAAAGCTCAGCAGTTCCATGAGAGCAGCTTCCTCTGTAACCAAAAGAAAATAATTAAAAATTTTAATGGTAAAAGTATGTGGCATATGAAATTAACACTCAAAAAGTAGGTGTTTGGAGTGTTTTCAGAAACATGTTAATTTGTTTTAGAAACAAAATATAAAAACAAGTAAAAAACACAACAAAAATTCTTAAAAACAAAAAATAATAATAAAACAATATTGAACCCAAACAAGCCAAGAAAGCTCTGATAATCAATTAAAATATAAGTTCAAAGGGCTTCTAACATTACATTGATTAGAGTAGAAAGGTCACAGGACAGTATTCATGCATATAAGAAATTTAGTGAAAGATTACAATCAAGTTTAAAACAGGTTTTTTTGGCATTTATAGACCGTCTCCATTTATCAATGGTTATGGGTTAGATTCATGATCCTCTATTGTTAGAACAGAAACAAATTATCAGAAGAATGGTAAGATGTCGCCCTTCCAAAATTATGTCAAATTAAGAGCTTGTTTGGAATCACTTTAAAAATCAAAAGTGATTCAAAACGGCCTCTAATAATTGAAGCAAACACTAATCAGAGTATACGAAAGGGATAAAATGCCAGAATATTGCACGTCAAATCACAAATTATTAAAATATAGCACGAAATGAACATATTAGATCCTGAAGTGCTGCAAATTCATCAAAATTTATCTATAATGTAAGAAATTACACAAAAACACATTCCAAGAAAGACTTCCAAACAAATATACCTCCCTGCTTCAGAACCATGGTCCATGAAAACATGATTTGGAGTTGGCATTGGAAGGGGGGAAAAATGCACTACTAGCTACTACTACTACAAAAGAAGCATTATGTCAAAAGTAGTAGGTCAGTTCAATAAATATAAGATATTGGGTGAATTTACATACATACCACAAAATTCTTATGTATTTAGATATATAACACCTAAAGCCTCATATTTGCACGCATATCACTCAAATGTTTAACATCAAATCAAAAATATCACCATCAATATTTTTTAGAAGTGAAAAACAACTTTTTCATAAATAGGTTTATGACACCCAGGTGTTATATGTATAAATATCAAACTTTGGAAGTTTAATATGTAAATACATAAAAAATGTGTGGTATGTATGTAAATTTCCCATGATATTATTGTTAACAGATATATTTTCCTTGTTTTGAGTAAGATGATCGGAATAACTGTGGGTGTTTGGTAGCATTTAACAGATAGACCATATAAGCAATTTAATTATACGATCACCTTTTTTTAAAGTTCCACAAAGTTTGTTCATTTACAAGTAAGAATGGAGAATAGAAAAAACCTTTAATTCAGACAGTAGCCAACAATTTCACAAGTTTATGTTTATAATTTCCTTATAAACTTTTCAAGTGGTATGCAGATATACAAATAGATGAATATACCAAGTCTTTTGAACAACCTGACTCGTTAATTCGTAAGGTAGCATGCCTCTGATCAGATTCTCGCATGCCATTCGAGAAAAGCTGTAACAAAAAAAAAGGTCGAATAATCAGTAAAATAAAATCCATCCATTAAGAAGTTCAACCGATGAACATAATTGTACAACTTATATTACCTTGTAAAAAAAGGGGCTTTTTGCAGCTAATATTGCAGAATTTATATATATGGATTTGACCTTCATAAGAGAAAAATCCACATCCCAGGATGATTCATTGCCAAGAGAATGGTCATCACCTAAAAAAATGAAATGAAAAATACCTAAGAGAACGAGAAGAAGAACAGATTTCATACAAAAAGGATAGATGGCAAATACAGAACTGTCTCCCCGTTACCTCAAACACCCACGCACAAAAAATTTTGAAAATTATAATGAGAAAAAATAATAATTGCTGAATATGTGAGATAAAATGATTGAATTTAATTCCATTGTTCAATATTAAAAAGAAAATGAGAAGTTCCACATAAAAGTAGAAAAATAACTAAGGAAGCAAATTTGGAAACCAATCTTTAATTCTTGAACATGGAGTAAACTACAAAAAAAAATCGAATGTTGCTATCCACACATTGCTGGATTGCTTTCCAAATGAAAGCTGTTGTCCATGAATTGTTAAATTCTTGTAGATGGAAATTTATTTTATGTGGATTGTTGTAATGTTATCAATAAAAAACTACAGTCCACAAATTGTCTAGATTGAAAGCTGCTATACAAAAATTACAGAATGCTTTGAGATGAGAATGTTTTGGCTACATATTCATGATAATTTCAAACCTATCAGCATTTGTGGTAATATTATCTCAATGTAGAATGATTTTTTTTTACATAATAGGCCTTTACGGGTGTTATATTGAGATATCTTAGAATGGAATAACTTAAATATGGCTTCAAGAGAGTTGTCCATGCATTGGCTTACAATACAAACAACGTATCAATATGATTAAGAGAAATGTAAATGAGTTCACTCTCAAGGCAAGATATCTCTAATTATCAATACGTGTGTTTTTAGTGGTGATTCCATTTTTCTTTTGGGGTTCCATTAGAGTTTCTATGGGCTAATTTTCAAGCCTTCATATTTCTTAAAGTATACCAAGAATATACAACCTTTGAAAAATTAGAATACCTTATTTTGATCATGTCATTGCTATGCCAAGATCATATTGTAGATTCCCCAAGTCTGTTATCTCGAATTCTCTTGAACCCTTTTTAATCTGATTAGGTCTTCCTCAAAGCCATTTTTCAATGTAATATCATCCACATATATGATAAAAAACCCCTTTTTTTCTCTAGGTTAGTGCTTGATAAAGATTGTGATCAACTTAAAACTGAATGCACCCCCACTTCTCAGCATAATTGGGGAATTTGTCAAAGCACGCTAAGAAATTATTTGAGGCCATATAGAGCTTCTTTAAATTTGTACGGCTTAATGATGTTATTCTGATTTTCCAATTCAGACGGGATCTTCATGCACACTTCTCCTCAAAGCACTCCTTAAAAAAATGCTCTTAATTTCACGTTGATACAGAAGCTAGTCCAAATTTCTTGTAAAAGAGCAAAACTCAAATTGTATTGAGTGGGGCAACGGGAGAGAGAGTTTCCTTATAGATAATCTCATATGCTGGGGCATGCACTTTTACAACAATTCAATATTAAAATTTAACCACATTCCCATCTATTTTATATTTTGCTATAAAGATCCCTGTACATCCAACCAATTTTTTTCCTAGGGAAAGCTCATAAGTTTTCTAGATACCATTATTTTCAAAAGCCTGGATTTTCTCCCTCACAGCTTCCTTCTACATGAAGCCTTCAAATCTTGATAGAACTTATTTTGAACTCATATTTTATCACAAGAAAGTGATAAAAGCATGAAATCTTAAAGCAATAAGACAATCGAAATCAATATTATCATCTATAAATTTATTCTCTCTAATTTGTAATTCATTGGTCCTTGAGACCTCTCTCTAACTTGACATCAGCACTTCGTAAAATAAATCCAACCTATGGAGAATGTGCTTCATGTCTTTACTAAGAGGGAAAAGAAAACCAAGAAGAGGAGTAATCAATACATCTCCATTAAAAAAAAAGCACTCTAAATGTCAAGTTAATTTAGAGGATAGTCCAAATCTACTGCACGAGAGCTCGAAATTATATTAATAATTTCGCAAAATAAGAGAGTATTTCCTGCTAAATAATATCATTTGATTAGTTATACCATCCATATTCTCATCTAGTTTATATTTAACCATAAAGATCCATTTTCATCTGAATATTTTTTTCCCAGTGGAAGTCAAGAATTTTTCCATAAACTAATATTTTCTATGGCCCAAATTTCTTCCCTTACAACTTTCTTCCAAATAAGTGTATTAAGAACTTCAATAATACTGTTTGAATAGAATATGTATTTTTATCAATTGAAGTGACAAAAGCAAAGAAAATTGGCAAAAGCCTTTTATATGAGTACTGGTGCAATACCTCAGCGTTTTTCTTAAGATAATAGTACAATTGAGATCAGCATCATCTATGAATTTATTTTAACTAGTTTGTATTTCATAAGTCCACGAATCAAGTATGAGTTCTTGGTTGGGTTGGAGACATATTAATTGCTCCCCTCCTATTGCTGTTTTTTTCTTTTCCCATCTAGTATAGACACAAAGCTCAATTTTATTAGATTAGATGTAACTGACAAAGTGACAATGAAGTTTGCAAATCTAGTAAGGCTTCAAAAGGTTGGATGTAAGGTGATAAGAAAGTTTGCGGTGCTGATGAGGTTTCAATAAGTTGAATGAAAGACAATGAGCAATGTTCATTGTCCATGTAAATGATGAGAGACAACAATGAATAATTAATAAATCGCAAATTGAAATTCTTATTTTTAGATTTCCTAGTGATTGATCGTAGTTTGAGGAATGTTACATCGATAAAATCAATGATCATGAAATATGTTTATACTCCTTTTTTTATTCAACGGGTATCCAATAAAGAAATCCTAGACAGATATAAGGTTTAATTTGATAATATATGTGAATTAAGACTAGCTATTCAAATATTTTTTAAGAATGAAAGCAATGATTTGTCTTAAAAAATGCATATAGAAGATTTTGAAATCGGATTTGAAATTTAAATACTCTTAAGAACGTTCTATAAATGAGATATTCAACTATTAGGATGGTTTATCCCAAAAGATACTTGAGAATACTTGTCAAAAACACTAATGTTCAAGTTATCTCTAAGAGATGTATTCTTTCTTTCAAAAACTTCATTTTTTAAGAGGTGCCGACATAAGAGCTTTAAGGGAAAATCTTTTAGCATAGGAGATAATTTTCTAAGACTAATTCGAATCATAATTCATCAATACTGGTTTCTAGAATTTGAATTTTGGTCTGAAGGCGAATGTTCGTGTTGAAATATTTATAAATTTATCTGGCTTCAAAATTTTCTTTTATTTGAAAATTTTAAGTAAAATAGAAATAATTGTTGATGATAGAAATAAACCAGCAAGCTCCATAGATATTTTTATTCTAGGTGATCTTCACACATAACTGTAAACTTAATCAAAGATTGGAAATTTACAGGATTGAAAAAGATAGTAACTAAATGAGTTTTTAAGCATATGAAAAACTTCACACTGAAATATCTTTGAATTATTGTCGGCCAATAGAAAAGAAATTAATTATTCAAAGTGATGTTTGGTTATCTTAGGTGATAGTACCAAAACTAAAATCAAGATCATTATTTGAAGTATATTTGGATTTTGAAGTCAGGGTTTTAATGTATATACAACTGACTGTTTAAGCTCGTATCCTGAGAACTCATTCGTTAGAACATAAAATTTTGAAAAATACCTCCCCACTACCACTTATTCTCTTCAAGTTCAAGTCCTAAAAGCGACTGATTCTATGAGAATTTAATAACACAATCTTTTTCTCAATTAAGTTTGCTAATTAATAGTGAGTTGTATTATAAATTATGCAATTGAAGTGCATGGTTAAGTGTCAAATCTTTTGGTAGAATGACAAAACTCATTTTCACCACTTTTGATATGACTTATCTGCCATTTAAACATTATAATTTTCATAGAATTTACCATATTTATGAAAGACTTTTTTTACTCCTATCATATGACATAGCGCTATAGAGTCTACAATCAAAGTAGTACTTTTCATCATTTTTGTAGTAAGAGCATTTTAAAATTTATGTTTTCAAGTAAACAAACTTATTCTATTGATATTCTAAAATTAAGCTTGGGAGAAACAACATCTTGTTATTAATTAGCTATCCAAATATTTGTAAGAGTAAGAAGTCCCTACGATTTGCCCTGTTGCTGGTTCTCTTTGAAATTTACTAATTCAGTATTTTACTATGGATTTCTCATGTTTTCAATCAAATTCTTCATTTAAAATTAGTTTCAAACATAGAATTGCTAGCATCTTAACCACTGGTTTCTTTGTCATAGTTGCCAGCATCATTCCAGAAGAATCCTTCACATATTTCTGCAACTCTTATTGGAAGAAAACTGGCTTTCCGTGTTGAAAAAAGACTAACTGGCTTGGAGAAGAAAACCTTTATTGAAGATTGCGTTAATCTCATAAGGAATAGGACTTTAATGGCTTTGATACAATAGGAGAGGAAAATAGAAAATTAGAAATTTTATAATTGAATTGTGTTGCCTTTTTTTGCATAAAAATTAAGACAAGAAACTTTACATAAATAGGCAGAGAAATAACTAGCAAGGAAATCGGCACATCGAGAAACCAGTCTTTAATTTCGGAATACTAAGTTAACTGCACAACAAAAATGAATTGTTTTCAACGAATTGCAGCAGTGCTAGAGATAGAAAGCTGTTGTCAACAAATTATTGGATTGTTATATAAGGAAAAAGATGCTAACAATGAATTTCTATATCACTTTAGATGTAAAATTGTTATCAATGAATTGTTGGCTTGCTATAAACGTTAAGATATTGACCATGAATTTCTTTATTATTTCAACTAAAATCATAAAGGCCAACAAAAAACTTTCTCCAGTGTCGTCAAAGATATCTCAAATTAAAACTATTCAGGGACCAAAGAAAGTTATAGATGAAAAAAAAACATTAGAACTCTGCAGCTGGAAAAACTTTTGAGGCTCAAAAAAATATATGAACGTATAATCCTCTGAAAGGTCTCCAGGCCTCAATGTGAGTCAAAATATATAATTCTTGGAGTGCCCTTAATCAGCTCATTCATGAATATCAGGAAATATGCTGATAGCTAAATTTAAAGAGATAAAATGCAGTCAATCTAGCATTAACTGTGTTCTAAAAGAGCAAAAGTAACAGGACTCATAGCACAAAGATGGAATATGATAGCACGAACATTTGATAAGAAATTCAACCATGCGGAGAGAACATTACCTGAAGGTGACTCTTCTATCATTGCCACAGTCTCTCCATCATTGTTTTCATATGTCAGAATGTCCTCTGTGTCAGGCTGGTGACCATCCAAAATGTGTTCCGAACTATAGACAGCAAACCCCGATGCTAAAACAAAAGAAAATTTCATTTTAATATAAACTGTTCTGAAAAGCTAAAATCATATAGATGTCTTATAAAGCAGAAATTACGTCAAGTACAGCTGCTTAATAGACAAAAATCTCATTTACAGTTAACAATAGAATATCATTCTAGTTAGGGGCTGCTTGCTGGGTGTGTTTTAAATAGATGCATAATTGTGAAGTAAGAATATGTAAGATGTTTAGATTTTCAGAAAATATTTGGTTGCATGAAAGTTCAATACAATGAAATTAATGCATTTCAGGTGAAAAGTAAAACATGAATGAACTAATGATAACCTCTTCATCCTCTTCTTCTAAACATATTCTAGTTTCATCTTTGATAAACTTTACTTGAACTAAATCTTTACTTTTCTTATCTTTTTGCTTGACTAGTTTATGCATATATCTTTCACCATCTTTGATATATAATTTACTATAAAGATCATTAAAAGCAAAAGGTTTTAACATTTTCTTAAAAACATTTAGTTTCATGAATGCATAAGATATTTATCTTCATATGAATCATAAAATCTACTAATTTCATTAATTTACTTGTAAGAGTAGCTAAATTTCAAACTTTTATCCTAATATTATTTTCACAAACTAACCTCTTTACCCACATTCGTCCATAATGTAAGATTTTTTTCTTATTTAACACTACATTCGGGTATCAATGCAATAGCCCTTACACACTTATCATTGTAGTCAGGTTATAGAGCACGTCAAATCTAGATGACGCTCTAACATTGACATAATGATTTAAAGGATTAATGTCATAAATTTTCATCATAATTTTTAAATTAATCTAAAGCAACCCTCTACTTTTCACATATGGGGCTTGGAACCTAACAATAGCAGTGTTTATTTTGGATTTTTTTTTTAATTGGCCCATCAATCAAGATACATTGCCATCAACAAAAGTTTAAAATTGTCTGCGCTAGCTATTGAGAAGAAATGGCATCACAAAATGTTGAAAGTCCATTTTCTAGCACACTATATTGTAATTTTGCAATATCTCAAACTAAACAAACTAAACCAATTAAACAAGAGCAAGATATTGTTTCAAATGACAATACTTAACCAATAGTATAAACCAGAAACAATAATATTTTAGATATGATTGAAAATCCTCTTACATTTGAATCCCAATAGTAACTTAGAGCACGAAGTAAAGAGAAACTGAGATTTTTAGTTCCACACACAATTCGTATAATAGTGTTTATTTCTTTGACGAGCATGCAAATCCACAATTCCAAAAATTGCTCAAATCCATAAATCCAAGCTTGTCCCTTACCAAAACATATAATGCCACATGACTTGTGAAACAAAACACATTTAACTTGTGTGGCTATTAAGCACGACTGGCAACATTTTTTGTTAATATAAAGGTGTTGCCCTTAACACAACTATTCCACAATGCAATTTCATCCAATATAACAATAATGATGAAAAAGATGAGCATTGGATATAATAATATAAAAATCAGTTCAAAATGTATCAACCATAATGAAAATCACTAAACTACTAACCATTTTTAAAGATGGATTGCTTAAGTGTCAGTAATTTTAAAATGCAATTACTCTATCTCACAATGAAAGAGAGAGATGCAATGAGAGAATGAGTTGTGTAAGTGAATGAGAAGTGTTTGAGCTGCATGATTTTAGGGATAGGGTGTTGAAGATTGGGCAAGTAAGAGAGAGTGGGAATTGATCCTGGCGAGATAAAATAGCATATGCAAGTCTGGGAGAGAGAGACATTGAGTGCCCATGAGTAGAGAGGGACTAGTGCAAAATTTTCTTTTTTTATAATGCAAAATGGGGCAGTTGGACATCCATTTTAATAGTGCAAGTATATGATGCCTGAAATATGACGTGGTAGTAAAGCGAGGTGTCGCTTCCACTCGAATGATAATTAAAATAGAGTTTTCTTACAATGACAACAACAACAACCTTGATCAAACTAAGTGGGGTCGGGTAAATGAATCATTTTTCTACATTGTTCCCTATTGATTGTCATATTTTCATTTCATTCTAATATATTAAGATCATTTATTTTTTATACAACATTAATATATTAAGATCATTTTTTATACAACATGCCCAAGTCTTTTTAAGTCTACCTCCACCTTTCTTTCTAATAAATTAAGATCATTTTTTATACAACACTGCCTAACCTTTTTAAGTCTACCTCTACCTTTCTTAGCAAAAGTTAAATCTAAATCTAAAATATTTGCTCTCCTCACAGAGTCATTAGATAGTTGAAGTTTAATAAAAATTGATTTTTTTAATGAAATAAATTTTAATTAAATTAAATTATAAAATAATTGTATTTATTTTTTCAGTTATTGTTTTCATTAGATTACTATTTATATACTTCTTCTCATAAAAAGATAATTTTAATTATGTAGCATTAATTTAAAAAAATATAATATGTATGTATGTATATTGGCTCTTATTCATGAACTTGCATTGCTTGCACTTGTCAATGTTTCATTTTAGTCTTGTGCATGGTTAATTTTTCGTGCATTGAATTTGATAATGTGCAGGTAGGGGTGTAAGTGAGTCAAGCTGACTCGTGAGCCGGCTTAAGCTCAGCTCGATAAGTGGCTCGTGAACTAAGGTCGACGAGGTAACATGCTAAGCTCAAGCTAGCCTCGACTCGATTCGTTAACTCATGAGTTGGCTCGTTTAAAAAATATTAATATAAAATATAGTCAAAACATATAAAATTTTGAATACTTAATCTTTAAAGTATTAAAAAAGTTTAGAAATAATATTTTGTATTTTATATTAAATGATTTATTATTATTTCTATCTCAAAATGCAATTATTCTATCTCAAGATGAAAGTTGCATGCCCCTTTCAACAAAATGCAATTATCCTATCTCAAAATGAAAATTGCATGCACGCTTTAACAAAAAATGCACTCACATAAACAATTAGATTTGAACAATTCTCAAATCATGAGCAAGTGTCTCGAAGCAAATCAATTTTATTGAAAAAATTTCATTATTCGTGTAAGACATGAGTACTATAAAAGTATGCTCAACCATCAAAACCAAATTTTCGCATGCATACGCAGGCTGCTCCCACTCAAAATCAAAATCATTATAGCTTCAAAGCATTAAGCTTGCCTTTTATGAAATGTTAAAAGTCAAATTTATCCCAGTTTAAGAACCATGCAATTGTTTTGAAAAGCAAGCATTCAATGTGAAGTTCATAAAAACTCTCCATCAAACTTCAACCCACTATCATGTTGTTGTATGGTGCGCTCGAATAAGCCGCCTCAACTATAGAGCAAGCTAGCAAATTCTACTTTCCAAATTCGATCCTCGTGAAAGAAGGTTGGAGTCGACAAAAAGATTGCACTCCTACAACTCTTAAAATTTCAAAAGTATTAAAAAAATTCTATTGGCCATCCTAGCTATAGAGCAAAGTCACAAGTCTTACATTTCAAATCATGACAAAAAAAAGATTCTAAGGGCCTGTTTGGGGCAGCTTATTTGGTGCGGTGGCATTTTGAAAACGCACATAACCTGTTTAAGTAAATTGTGTTTTGGCAGCTTATGCATTTTCAAAATGCAGAAAACAGCGTTTTCACATTGCACCTATCTAGGTGCGGTGGGTGTCTTGCCTACAAACTACGTAATACATGCAATTCTCAGAACCACTCGTCCACAAACGAGGGTAGAATTGACGACATTTGTAATACAATGAATATTAAATGAACTCAAGTGATGCAAACATTAAAACCCGATGCTCTATAAGCAAACAAGCAAGGTAGATTGTTTCAAGCAAAAAAGTATAAACCTTTGAATAACATGATAGCAGATGCAAATATTTAAAATTACAAGTAATGAGACCTGCTCTCAAATTGAAAAAAAAAAATTTTAAATAACTTTTGCCAATGACAGCAAATTAATTCAAAATGCCCATAAATATCAAAGCAAATTAATTGAACCTCAAATCCATAAAATGAAAAATAAAAAATCCAAAAAAGTACACAAAAAAATTCAAGCATATATGATGTCCACTTAAAGCTTAAAAAGACTAACCATCCATCATCTGCACAAAAATTTATAAATAAAAAATAAAAAATTAAGATTAATTATAACTCACAAAACGCCAATGTCATATTTAATGCATCATATGAATATTCTTAAAAATGTCATGACAATAAGAATGTGCCACATGCCCTTTAATTCCAATCAGGTGGTTCACAACCTAAATGACACAATTATATTAAAGTTACGAACAAACTTCAGATGTTCCTCATTGATTTAATCCAAGAGTTATAATCATAAAATGCGCCTAATATAGCATAAAGCTCCTCATTAGTTATGAAAATTGACCTATTTAAGCAAGCAAACATGTACAATGAGCCTATGAGATTCCGGTAGATCGACTATCATGCTAACAATGTAGATCAAGGTCCATGATAACCCAGGGCAACATAATAGAAGGATCTTAATCAAGTTCATCATCATTTCTCACCCACCATCCGCTCCAAGTTAACTGCGGGAAATTTCCTCTTTGTAAAATTAAATTAATACCGTCATAAGTTGAATATTTATAATATTGACTAGCTTCAATTGAAAGTCCTCTCGCGATAAAGAGTAATTAATCATAAAGACTAGCACATGTTAAAAAACTCAAACTAGGTCATCAATCATTATAAAATTCAGGTGAAATTTCTAGATAGTGTATCAAATCTGCCTTCTAAAATTTTAGCACGAAACCACTCTTATAAAAGAGCTAGATGAGAATTTTCAGATCCCACAAAAGAGAAGTTTGGTATGAAATATATGTGCATGCATGTTGTTAAAAAGCTTACATTATAGAAGAAAACTCCTACAATCCCAATAGCTACATCAATAGATGCTAAAGAGAAAGAAAGTGTGAGCTATGCTCCAAAAATGCAAGGCATGCCAAGCATGATCCATCACATAGCATTATTGTAATTACAATATTAAAATCTCTACAATTCGTTAAGTGAATCATTTGTTTGGTTATCTTTCCTCTTAGCCTCTTGTTATCACCATATTTGATCCTAATATTCTACCGCAATGAAGCACCAAATAACACTCAATTGAAAAATCTGAAGCACTAGACAAAGTATATATTACCTTCATAATGTGGCTAAGGAGGAGTATGATGATTTGCATTTTTGGTATAACAAATGCACCAATAAATTTATGAAATCACAAATAGGTGTTTGGAGAAGGTAGCCATTTATAATTTATGCACCTTAGGGTAAAAAAGTTATAAAAAGTTTTATAAAATGGCTGATGCTTTGAAAATATTTATAAAATGTTAATATCTCAAATAAATTTAACAAAAATAGATCAATAATTCTCTAGTGAAAATGGTCACGTATCATATTTGACTTCAATTATAAAATATTTAGCCTAGTTTGGTGACTAAGAAACAAAATCTGAGGTAGCATAACATGGAGCGCATTGAATAAAGACAGTTGTAAATTCTATAAGCTATACACTTTATAGATGCACTGACGGCAACAAAATTAAACAATTTACACACAAACTTATATGTTTCACAGTAATTACTTGCAACTAAAACAGATTATAAATCTAGACATTGTTCAAACAATTAAGATAAGGGGTGAGATGTGCTTATTCCAGAGTTGTAAAAAGTAGGAATGTTTTCACTAATTTCTTTTTAAAAAAATACACAAATGGGGTCCCTTGCAATGGAACTAGACAATAACAAAAACTAGTGTTAAAGTATTAAATATTCCAAAATCACTTATATCAAGCTTATCTAAATTATGAAGATATGATCTGCAAAGGTGTTATCGCGTTAATACAATATTTCGAATCTCGTGCTTCTTTAAAGGGAACCGGGATTCAATACTTCTCAAGTCAAAAGCAAATTTAAGTTATTTCATGCAAATCAAAAAAGAGTACAAGAAAGATGAAATTTCAAAAAGAAAAAACTCATTAACAATAGTATATTACACAAAATGGTATCATACATCCCCATTGTTGTCATTTTTTTTCTATTTAAAACTGAACGTTAGAGAAAGCAAAAAAAAAAAAAACAGAGAGAGAGAGAGTTCTTTAATCTAACCATCCTAAATATTGGATAGAGATAGTACAATTCAATATTCAATCTGACATCAAAAAATATCCATACAAGAGAAATGACCAAACATAGTTCCAAATCGTTAATACAATCTGCATGGTCACATTCCCAATCAATCTCTACCTAGATATAAGGCAACTACTTTTTGAATTTAAAAATTCAATACCATCATGTTTGTTATGTTTTAAAAATATGAATCAATTAAAAGGTAAAATTGCACAATTGAGTATTAAGATATTTTCTTTTTATGACGCCAAATGTAAGCATCACGAAGTTTTAAAGCATAAATCTCAAAATAAAATCATTAAGAAATTAAAATAGGTAAGGCACTTAAGACTAATAATTTTAAATCCTGACATAACATTATAAAAGTCATGAGAGCACTCAATAATAAGCAAAAGGAGTAAAATGAAAAAGTAAATATTAAAAATAAGTCTAGATAAAAACAAATAACCATATCCTAAAAAAACTAATTATGTCTTAGGACTAAATTCAATTTTTTCTCACTTTCATCACTTAGGGGTCCTCATCATAATCATTATCATAGTTTTTCTTTTTTTTCTTTTTTTTCTTTTTTGCATCTCTCATCTTCAATTGTATCATTTCATTCAAAACAAACTATTTACGACTTCGGACTCTAAATTCAAAATTTTCTCACTTTCATTACTAAAGGGTCTTCATCAAAATCATTATCATAGTTAATTGTTTTTTTTTTTTTTGCACTTTCATCTTCAATTGTATCAATATCCTTCAAAATAAACTAATTATGACTTAAAACTTAAATTCAAAATTTTCTTTCATTTCGTCACTTAGGGGTCTTCATCAAATTCATTATCATAATTAATTGCTTTTGCATCCCAATTCTTCAGTTGTATCAATATCCTTCAAATCTTTATCATATTCAACCTTGATCACATTCTTGTTCCTTAATTAATAAAAAATAGTAGAATATTATTTAAAATGATAATTAAATTGACCCCTTATAACTAAAATTGCATAAAATTCTAAGCTAACTTTCGTTGTTACTTCCTTGGCAGCTTGTTGTTACTTCCTTGGCAGCTTATTGTTTTTATTTCTTCATCAAGAAAATCAATGTTGCAATCTTCCTTGTGTAATTGTGATAGTGAATATCTATTTTCATCCTCTAAATTCATTAGTCACCCGATGACATATTGACATATCATTGAGAACCAAGGGATCTTCATCAACCTCCAAACTTTCTTCCTCAAATGTTCATCTTTTTGTGACTTGTTGTGCATCATGTAAGCTAATAAGTTCAGGATGAAAATAACCAAGGAATGTTAATCATCCTAAAACATGAAAAAGACACATACATCTCTTTAGAAAACACCTGTGATGCTATAGTCAATATATTTTGCATGTCTCTTTCTCAGCGGCATGGCTAAAGACACACAACATAGGTGACATCTTCAATTGCAGTCTGTTTAGTTAAGCATTATTAAATGTAATAATTGCAATACTATCTTGAATAATGAATGTTGATTATAGCCTTTCTCAATCTTTTTTTTCCATATTGAATTAAACTGACTAACTAATTGTGACAGCATTAATAGTCAGTAAAACAAACACACAACATCCTTGAAATATAACCGAGTTGTCAAGAAACAAATTTTCCCATAAAGACATAAAATTGAAATGGTATTAGCTACTGCGATGAGCCTTAACCGAAATTCTTTGGCATGGTTCCCATCAAAAAACCTAGATGAAACACCAAATATTTCAAATTAAGCCTGCATATGTTCACCATTGGAAGGAGAACAATCTGAGGCGCACCTTGAGGCATAACTTAAGGCAATTACGAAGAAAAATGTTTTGAAATGTGTGTCTTGAAGACCTCGAGCAAGGCATACCCCTCACATTAGTTAAGGTCCCCCTCAAGAAGCGCCTAGCCCCAAATTTGTTGAGGCGTGCATCTCTTAGCGCTTGAATTTGTTCTGCTTTATTAGACAATTCAAATACAAGTCGAAACCGAATTATCACGCAAAAGAACTCCCCTTAGACCAAATGGCCAATTAGGCTTCACAATGTCATCGTCTGCTGCTTCTACTGCTTGCACCACCACTGCCACTTTTTGTTTCTGTTATCGGCACCCACATTGCTGCTTGTTGCTTCCACTACAGCAGCCATTTGCTTCTTCTGCTACTATAATTGTTTGTTGCTCATGCTACAGCCAATACCATCTACTACTCATGTTACAGCCATCGTTGATTGTTGTTCCTCTTGCTGCTGCCACGTCAAGCTACTACTGTTGCCGCCGCTAGCTGCTCTTGTTGCGACCCCCGCTAGCTGCTCCTGCTGCCACTGTTGCTTGCTGCCTTCACGATCGTTGCTCCAGCTTATGATCACTTATTATTATGTATATATTTAAATTTATGAATGTTGTTATGTTCATTGGACAAAAGGAATTAGATAAGTCTATTATGCTAAACACATCTTATGTTTTACTTTATACTTTATATTACTTTCATTTCATATTTTATGTTAGTTTGAAGACATGATCAGTTGATTTTAACATTATATTTATATTTTGTGCAAGTTGTTACATAATATTTTGCGACTTGTGCACTTTGTTATGCCTCCCCTGACTGACGAAAAATTCCTTGATACCCAATTGCACAAATTTAAACATTGCATGCTATCAACACCGCCAAGCAAAATTCAAAAGTTGCATCTAAAACGAAAAATCAAAGGAAGTTTCAACACAAACAATCTTCATTGCAGCAAGGGAAACTAAAGATAACTGTGCTAAACCATAAACAGATGTTCTAACAAGGGAGCTAACCTTTGTCCTTCTTCAGGTCCTCCCTCCTGCGCTTACGATGTCGGGCCCAATCAGAGATGCTGGTGCACACATCGCCTTCGACTTTGCTCTCCGCAGGCCCCGGGATGACCTCAATCCGCAGCACCCGGTCGGAGAAGTTGCTCGAGTTGAAGGCGAATTCGAAGTTCTGATCAGCGCTCGCGTGTGAGAAACTCGGTTCCATGATGATTCTCCTCTGCAAAGGCTCCAACTCTATCTCAGAAATCTTCCTCAAATCCCTTGCTCTCATCACCCACGTCGCCGATCGAAGGCCAAGCCCTCGCTTCTACCCCAACTCGCAACCCTAACCCTAGGCCCTCCCTCGCTCGACGGGGAAGAAAGACTCCTGAACGGTGATTAGTTAGAACGGCCAAGAGAAAAGAAGAGAGTGATGTGGACGAGCAGCGGATGCTATAAAATATAATATTTCTGAAAGAGAATTTCTAATCCTTCATTTTGCCTAAAGTTTAATAAGAATATTTTTTTTATATTCGTTTTTTTAATAAATGTAATATAAAAATAAACTAATTACACGTCATATTTGAATGAGTGGTTTTACATTTAGAGATGATGTATCTTCGATGACAGACAATATTATAGAGAGTAGTCTTAGATATTTTAGCCACATTAAACATCATGATTCGATTTTGAGGGTGTATGTTTTAGATTCTACTTATGATAGGAAAGGAAAATGTATGCTAAAAACTTGTTGTATAAAAAATTATTTAAATTTATTAAAATTAAATGAAAATATGACATTATATTGGACATAATAGAGAAAAATGATTCATATAGCCGACCCTACTTAGTGAGTTGTTGTTACCTTAACTATACTATGACACCTTTCAAAATACCTATGTTGGTAGAAGCTTTCCATATGTTGATCTTTCCACACATAATCAACTAAATCTTTAATATCAATTGAGTAAGGGTATGTTTGGTTTTGTCAGTTTGGGCAAAATGTGTTTTGGTAGCTTTCTCAAAAATTTGTCGTTGTAATTTGCGTTTTTCCATTATTCCTGACTAGGTATGGTGACAGTTTTTTGACTGTGACCTGACTTAAAATAGAAAAATTTAATATTCGCCGCAGTTTTTTAAACATCAGATTATATTACTCAGCAGCTCTTAATAAGTTACAGCTGCTCCTAACAGACCCTAAGTGTTGGTCTAGCCCCAAAGAGTAAAACACTAGATGAAAAAATAATTAGACAACTAATCGAACCCTACCAAAAGGATTGTTATCACTCAACTTCCCCCAAAGAATGACATAAGAAAATACATTTAAAACAAATGAGTGTAAAATCAATCATAACTAGAAGTGTAATATTTATGATATAAAACTATAAGAATGATATACAACATGAAATAATTTGGAGGCCATGGGAATAAAAAAAAAACATTAAATGGCACGAATAATTTGCTTTATCATCATTCACCAAATCAGTCCATAATAGACCATGAATGTCAAGCATACAATATGTACTTTCTACATAATACTATGATAACAATCTTGTATCATGATGGTAAATTGTTTTGTTAATTCATGCCACACAATGCATTATTTCATTCTTATATTAGCTATTGGGACATATGATAGATAGAGGTGATGCTAAATCAATTATCATACAAGCTTGTGATCTCCTGATTAGATGCTCAAACAATAAACAAACATATCACTGTTGTATTCATTGGCTAAGGGCAAAGGCAATGGTCATATGGCAGTCTATGAATTAGTGTAATGATAGTTATAGTAATTACTTGTAAAATATTAAGTGATAAGTTAGCAATGGATAAATTAGGTGATAAATAATGAAAAATACCTCATCTTGAACTTGTTTATTATGAAAAGGAGAGAGTAAATATAATCCAAGTGTATGTTATAATAACATATAAAGAATGGGTAAATTGGTTGATAAATAATAAAAATTTACTTGATGAGGAATATAATTTTTTAAATTTATTTTAATAATTTTTAGATAAAGGCGTGAGTTTTAATATATTTTTAGTATATTTTATATTAGAATTATTTAAAATCAATCTGATCATGAGTTGAACAATTGAGTCAAGACTCGATTGAGCTTGGCTCGTTTGCTCGTCCAGCTAAGCTCACGAGCAACTTATCAAGCTGAGCCTGAGCAATTTCAGAAGTCGACTTCTCATATTTTTAACAAAGTTTTAAACTCATCAAACATTCACACGTACCAAAAGAGATGAAAGATTTGAGTGTTATTGAGGACAACCTATTAACTGCAGACATCCTGGCGTACGAACGTCAGTGGATGAGGAGGCAACTTCGCCACAAATTGAAGTTGTTTGACGCAGCCTCCCAATCCATTGTTGCATGTAATTTCCTTATAATTTTTTTCATATATTTCTCTTCAATACATAATTAACAAAAATATAACCAAATACTTAATGCATTTTTATAAACTCATTTGGTTATAAATCAGTATTACAGTGTGAGTGAAGTACACACTACTATATATATATATATGCCCAATCTCATATAATGGAGAAATTTAACTCACAAATATTTTCTTAACTTTAAAAATGAATTTAATCCCACTTAAGCCCTCCTTTAATTCTCTCATTTACAAAAATATACTTTATAAAATTATATATATATATATATAATTAAAGTGCTTTATAAATCATAAATGTTCATCACCCACCTCAAATAAATAAAAAATATCATCATATAAACCTAAAAATTATCTATATACTGTCCTTACATTCCTAATATTCAGAGAGAGAAATTAGAGAGAGAGAGAGAGAGGGTAGAGAGGGAGAGAGAAAGAGCAACTGGAGCTCCCCTCACTCCATATAAGAAAGGAAGATGGAAGGAGCCATCTTCATTCTCTTGTGTGGGGAAAGGAGAGCTCCGGTAGCTAAAAATCGTACCTTTGCTCAACAGTAAACTGATCAGCCTTCAAAACTCCTTCATTGCCGCAACAGTGAAAGCAAACTTCACCACTGTTACTCGTTAGGTTAAACAAGAAACTAAATAAGAGAAATAGAAGACTTTTTCTCTCTCTTCTTGTGAACCTATACCCCACTTATATAGACCAACATCCATGCCTTGCTCTTCATGTCTCTCTCATATCTCTCTCTCTCTCTCTCTCTCTCTCTCTCTATATATATATATATATAAATTTAGCAAAAAAAGATATTTTTTATGTAAATACATAAATTTTAAGTGTCAAAAAACTAATATGCATAAAAAGATATATTATGTTATAAACTAAATCTATATTTTTAGAATCAATCAACAGTCTGAAATCTGAAGAATCTTATTCCAAACATGACTGAGGAACCTATGTGCTAGATTTGGCTAGAAAGAAATACTTGACTTAGCCAATTCAAGGGACACATGCTTATACCCTGCACGATTTTCCAAGCGTTCCCCACATCATTTAGTGTGTAAAACCTTGCACAACCTGAGCTTTTGTTCTTGGGTTTTATCTTTTTGCCTTTTTCTTGCAAAAAGTAATGATGTGGACACCAACTCTCAGATTTTTCCTGTGATTGTGGGAATCTCCATTTTATCTTTATTTACATATCAAGCAATCAATTTTCAGTTTTTACATACATACCCAACTTATCTTTGCATGGAATGATATAAAATTTTGTGATATTTTGATGTGATGTGAAAGATTTGGATGCATGGTATAAATATAAAAAAGTAAAGTTTATGAGTTATTTTGTTATATGAGCACATGGGAATGGGGTATTATGTATGAAAATGCCCCATTTATAAAAATATAACTCTCAATCCTCTTATAATTCGAAAAGAAATAAGAAAAATCTACCAAGAAAACAAGCACACACGTACACAAATGCATATATATTCATACATATAGGTGCATGTATATGCAAACATATAGATACATAAAAATTCATACATATATATCCACACACACAAATATATATAAAGCATGCATATACATGCATGTATATATATGCACACATATTGTTTATAAGGTTGGTGCCGCAAGCCGCGGCCTGTTGGTTGGTGGGGTTCATTGTAAGTCCCTGTAGGTCACGGGTTCGATCCCAAATAGGGCTGAGTTCTCGAAAATTTAGACACATGATCCGGGCTTTCATCATGGGGCTTTGAGCATAAAAAATTTATATTTGGGCCTCTGTCGATTTCCTTTTTTATAATATATCACGCACACATATCAACAAGGAGAGAGAGAGAGGGAGAGATGAGATGAGACGCAAAAAGAGGAGATGGGTTCACTTATCCATATACCCAAATTTTGCTAAAAGGTCAGCAAACCTTCTAAAAGTATTAACTAGTAATTATTAGCCTAGTTCTTTCAACGTTAAAAGCTAGCATTGTCTTCTAGGACATATGTGCTAATATTTAAAAAATGGCATATGATTCTATAAAGTTTGATTAAAGACTTTTATTTTTAAAAATAATTAAATTATTCATATATTTATGCATAAACATATTGCAAGTGATGCATAGAAATTTAGTAGTCAAAATTTGAAGCACAGAGCTATTTTTATGAGTGTAATATATTTATATCAATATGTTATAATTAGATCATGCATACCAAAAATACAAAAATGTCCTTAAAGTATTGTTAAGAGATTCCATGTAGCATATATATACCTATAAGATCATTTTGAGTTATACATATTTTTTTATTTGGGGGCATTTACATACATACCATCCAATTCATATATATTTACATATATAAAATCTAAACTTTATTTTTTTTACATTTATACCAACCAAATATTTCATATCACATCCAAAATATCACTATTTTAACATTTAAAAAATGAATTGTATATTTTCATGCAGGTGTAAAGCGGTATATATATATATGTAAAAATTGAAGTTTAGGTCTTATATATATATAAATACATAATAATTGAATGGTATGTATGCAAATCTTCCATTTATTTTCAATAAAATTTCAACAACTTAATTTTGGTGTGCACAAATGTATAGGGTTGCTAGTTAGTTTATAGATAGGATATTAGATATACAAATAAATAAAATTTGGGCGGCATGGTATTTGTTATTGTTATTGAAGTGATTCTAAGTGGGGGCTTGTGTGGTTATTAATACCTTTGGGTGTTTGAGAGTGGCTAGATTTTGCTTGATGGCTAAAGAGTCTTCATCTTTCTTCATTTGTACGCTAATTAATGTCTCCTGAATAAAAGGTAGATGTAAATAACGACGTAAGTTTGCGTACGACAAAAGTGAACGCAAATGCTTTTGTTAACCTTTATGTCATCATGGGGCGGGTCGATGCGGGCTAATGTCAGCAATTTATGATGCTCATGTTGACATGGGTTGTTTACGTTAGACACGTTCGACACTAATTTCATTTGCGACTTCCGTTTTTTTGGGGATCATATAACTGAAGCAAATCTGCAAGTAAAA